CGCCCCCTGTCGGACAGGAGGAAGCACGGCAGCCCAGGAAATAGAGACCCAGGGATTCCAGCGGGAGGAATCCTTCCTTGCATCCTCCCTTGGGTGGGGGAGGCAAATTCAGATCAGAGTACCTGTGGATGGTAAGGAGAGCCAATATTCAGGAGAAGGTTTAGGGAAATTCCTACTAGGCTGAGTTCCAGTAAGGTGACGCATTTTGGCCTTCAGCTGCCGAGACAATTGAGCAGCTCCGGATCAGCCACATTTTACCAGACCTGCTCTTTTGACTTTGCTTCTCCCTGTATCCCACAGAAGTTGGCTCAGGAGGGCCGGGCTCCAGTGGAGTGCCCATCTCTCGGCCCAGTGCCCCATCGCCCTCCATTTGAGCCGGGCAGTGCTGTGGCTACAGTGCCCCCCTACCTGGGTCCTGACACTCCAGCCCTGCGCACGCTCAGTGAATACGCCCGGCCCCACGTCATGTCTCCCGGCAATCGCAACCATCCATTCTACGTGCCCTTAGGGGCAGTGGACCCGGGGCTCCTGGGTTACAATGTCCCGGCCTTGTACAGCAGTGACCCAGCAGCCCGGGAGAGGGAGCGGGAAGCCCGTGAACGAGACCTCCGTGACCGCCTCAAGCCTGGCTTTGAGGTGAAGCCCAGTGAGCTGGAACCCCTACATGGGGTCCCTGGGCCGGGCCTGGATCCCTTCCCCCGACATGGGGGCCTGGCTCTGCAGCCTGGCCCACCCGGCCTGCACCCTTTCCCCTTTCATCCGAGCCTGGGGCCCCTGGAGAGAGAACGTCTAGCGCTGGCAGCTGGTCCAGCCCTGCGGCCTGACATGTCCTACGCCGAGCGTCTGGCAGCCGAGAGGCAGCATGCAGAAAGGGTGGCAGCCCTGGGCAATGACCCGCTGGCCCGGCTGCAGATGCTCAATGTGACCCCCCATCACCACCAGCACTCCCACATCCACTCCCACCTGCACCTCCACCAGCAGGACGCCATCCATGCAGGTGAGACTCCTACTTCTTTGTCTTCATTGCGTTCTTGTCCCCTAGCAAGTAATTGGGTCTTCTGTTCCTCAGGCCAAGACTTTTCTCCTCTAGTCTGGCATGAGCCTCTCTCCCGGGATTGCTCCCCTGATCTTGGCCTCCCTGTCATCCCCCATCTCTTCATGCCCCAGAGACTGTAATAACCCACACCCCGCCCCTCTTCACAGTCTAGCATCCCACCCACGATAGAGGAAACCTTTGAGGGAACGCCACCTTTCTACCCTCAGAACAGCCCCCCGCCCCATACCTGGGTCCTTGCTCCTTTGAATTCAACTCTGTTACCATTTCTTGCCATCTTCTCTCCTCCCAGGTGGAGGTCTTTCATGTTTTTCCCCATCTCCAGGCCTCCTACCTTCCAGAAACAGCTCTATAGCTTTGACTGGGGTTATCATAGGTGCTAATGAGCTTTATTTACTATCCTTTCGCTGTATTTCCTTTTGTCCAGTACTTTGCCAGGTTTAGCCTCACAGTCATAGTCCTTCCTGGCTCCCTTGTGCTTTCTCTCTCTCTTAGCCGCCTCTCTCTTCCTGTCTTACTTCCCAAACTTCTATCCCTTCCTATCTCCTCTAAGCAGTCCACATCTCTCCTTTTCCTCAGACCCCTCTGACAACTGCCGTCTCCTATTCTCTGCCATCCACATGTCCCTACTCCAGTAAGGTCTTGTCCTGACCACCCACCAGGCCCTTAGTTTTTCCATTGTGTCTCTTTGTTCCTCACTAGGTCTCCCTGTGTTGATTGTCCATCTCTTCCCAGGCTTGGATCCCTTCACCCAAATGCATGGTTTTCTCCAAACCTGCCTTCTGGTGACACCTTCCTCTTCTCTACCCTCTAGCCTCTGCCTCGGTGCACCCTCTCATTGACCCCCTGGCCTCAGGGTCTCACCTTACCCGGATCCCCTACCCAGCTGGGACCCTCCCCAACCCCCTTCTTCCTCACCCTCTGCACGAGAACGAAGTTCTTCGTCACCAGCTCTTTGGTAAGGATGGAGGTTGGGGGTGGGGAAGGTCGAACGAGAGAAGGGCAGAAAGGAGGAATCTGGGTGGTAGGATTCGCCTGTTTGGGCTTGGGGAGGGATGAGGAGGTAACCAGAGGAGCTGAGAACAGGAGAGGGAGGGCTGAGGCCATGCCCAAGAGAGGCACAGGTTTTAGTGCCAGGCGGAAGTTTGGATCTTCTCCAGGACTGGCTTTTGCCTGTTTTAGCCTCAGTTTCCTCTGTCTGTAAGGTGGCCAGCTCTGTCCTGGCCCAGAGTAAGTACTCAGGACTCCAGCAGTCATGCCCCCCCCCCCC